TAGATATAATGACAATAACAATTAGTCTCCTTCCCATTACAAACACCAATGGCTAACAGTTATTTAGTTCCACCCAGATGCTCCTTATCTCAAGGTCCCTGCCAGAGTCAGAATTCTATCCTTATCTCCGGATGGAGGCGAGAGGCAAAGGCAGCGTCTAATTACGGATCTCGCATTGTCAGGCCACAGACTTAGCCTGACTCTTGCTCTCTTGTTAACAAGACCAAGATGGCTGCACACAAATTCCCTTATTCCCTTTTCCTGCCTCCACACCATGAAATGTCCACTGTGATTCACACATGCCTGCAGAACTGTGGAGAAATACCTCTTGCGGTTAATGTATATGGAGACTAGGGCGGTCTGGTGTCAGAATTGAAATGTGCTTGCCATCTATCACCCCTCCTCTGTTTGGGAAGCCCATCTGTTCAAAGCCATCCACAATTTCATGTACATTGCCCAATGTCACAGTTTTTCAAAGAGGGATGTGATTGATTGAGCCTGCACCCTTCCATCAGCACCAAGTCCAATGGTTGACCTTCCCACTCTGAAATGATGGGTGATTGCAATGTAGAAGCTGACTACTCCAGACAGCTTTCATTCAATCGCCATGTGCTTCTCCACCAATAGGGCAGCTCTCTATGATTCTATGACTCATTTGCTTGTCCTTGCACTGCAGGATGGGGGTTAACTCAGCACACAGTCCCTTGAAAGTGGCTTTTCTCCTCTGAAACTTCTGCAGCCACTGCTTGTCATCCCAGACTTGCATGATGATGTGATCTCACCACTTGGTTTGTTTCCTGAGCCTAAAAGCAATGTTCCACTAGGGTCCACCTTTTCATGAATGCCACAAGAAATCTTGTGTTGTATATAGGCTGAGGAGGCAGAGCATACAGCACTGAAGCTATTGAAAGATGGCACCAAAAATGCGGATGGAATTGAACGTGTTGCTGGGATGTGAAGCAATGCACGATGGGGCTTTGGGACAGGACCAAGGATGACCTGCACCTCCCCACAATCCTTAGCAGCAGAAGAGGAAGAAGTGCTTGGGGGGATAGTGGCTCAGAATGCACCGCTCCAAAAGGTGCTGCAAGTGCTGTGAGTGTGGTCACACTAATGCACCAGCAATTGACTGTGGACACCCAATTGAGTGTGGTCACACTAGTGCACCAGCAATTGACTGTGGACACCCAATAGTGTTTTTGCTGCTGTGCTCCATGACTGCCAGCACTTTACATCTGCTAGTGTAGACGTGGCCTAAGTTACAACAATCACACGTATTCAGTTCCTCACACTAACAGCAGGAACCCCAGTGACTTCCAGAGAATGGATGAGGTTTGCAGGATATGGGAGTAAAGAAAGGAATTTCCTTATTTTTAATCTTGTTGAAGTATAGAAATATGCACAGAACTGTGCCCAACGAACAGCTTTGAGAAGGACCCCCACCCTCAAGGAATTTGAAGATATTGTACTGTTAAGTACAACTTGTAGTAGAAACAGATTTTTAAAGAAGAGCCTGAGGTAATGGATTAGAAATCAGGGACTGATTGCAAGGTAAATGGGTTTCAAGGTCAGAGCTGGCAGGCTGTGGGACTGGGGTACTAAAAACAGCATTTTAGGTGGCCACAGCTCCAGTCCCAGCACATGGTCCCACCCCGTGGGACTGGGGTACTAAAAACAGTATTTCAGGTGGCCACAGCTCCAGTCCCAGCACGTGGTCCCACCCCGGGAGTAGCTGGGGCCAGGGCTGTGTGACAGCATCAGGGACCGGGACCACAGTACTAAAAATAGCACCCCAGCCCAGGCTCCAGCCCCCCGCAAACTGGGCAGCTGCCACCACATTGAAGACAGAAGGTGAGGGAGGAGGGAGAACTAAAGGGAAAGTGGGGTGATAAGATAAAGGGGCTTGTCCTGGGGGGAGGAGGAAGAGGAAAGGGCCAAGACAGGAGAAGAAAGGGGCAGGCACCAAGGGGCAGGGTGGAGGAGCAACAAATGCGAGGGGGCCAAGAGAAGACAATGAGGGGAAAGGGCAGGAGTGAGGAAAGAAGGAAAAGTATCAATAGGGGTGCGAGAAAGGAGGGGACAGGGTGATGCTGGGAGAGAAAAGGAGATTGTGGGAGTGAAGCAGAAGGGCAGACACGGGGAGGGACAGTGGGAGAAAGAGGAAGGAAGAAGAGGGGAGGAGTGGTGCTGGAAGAAGAGGGGTTGAAAGGAGGGGGGTGGGCATTGAGAAAGGCAGGGGATGAGCAAGTCGTGTGAGGGTGCAGAGGGGCATGAGGAGAACTGGGGCAGGTAGTGCTGAGGGGGTGGGCACCAGGGCAGGAGCAGTAAGGGAAGGAGGAGGTACCGAGAGAGTACAGGGGGTAAGGCAAGGTGCATTAAAGAGGGCAAGGAGGGCAGGAGCAGTAAGGGAAGGAGGCGGCACCGGGAGAGTACAGGGGGTAAGGCAAGGTGCAGGTGCTAGGGGGATTGTGCTTACAGCATTTGTAACACAAAATAACACAGACATGTTCAACCAAAGGCTTTGCAGCTAAGAACATGGAGTTAGTGATCAGACAGCAGTTTTCTGTAGCTTAGAACCACCAAGGTAAATGGTTGCATAATGTACAGAAATGTTACTCAATATGTATTTTAAATAAAAGAGGACCATGAAAGTTCTTGCTCTACAAGGACCTTTGTCCGTTTTAATCTCTATATATACAGAAAGGTAGAGAAAATATTTTTCTCTGAATTCTTTGAATGTCTTTGTTAGAGGACATAAAATGAAGTAAATACCATAATACATCACTCTTTTTACATAATTTACTTTAAATCAATTTGTTTAAAATAACAGCTTTCAGAACCAGATCCAAAGTCCAATGAAGTTAGTGGAAAGATTCTCATTAACTTCAAGGAGTTTCAAAACAGACCCTTAAGTGTCCTTTTTTTCTTGTCTGATTGATTTAATTTAAATCTGCAAGAAATTCATTAAACCCATCCAGCATCTGCTTAACTTTACACAAATTCCTTTTATAACCTTTTCATGTAAATACACAGTTCTTGACTATCATTTCAAATGATCAACTCAAAGTAAAGTACCTGCACACTCTTGCATAAAGCAAAGAATTTTATTTGTCACCTTTGCTATACATTATTTTTATTAATAGACATTCAAGCTTTGAAGAATGCTTATGAGTGGATCAAATCAGACAAGGGAAATCTGCACTTGATTAATCAGAGCTTTAGCTCTGATTTATATGTCTTGTGTGCAGAACAAACTTTCTATGAAACTACTTTTTCTAAGTTGGCTATTTATCTGTATTAAAAAGAACCATCTAGAATTATATTAGATTTACTCACCTCAGAATAAAAATAAAGAGCCTGAAAGAGTTTTCACAGAGGGAAAACTGTTGCTTGCCATTTTAACCAGATTGACCATTCTCTCAATGACCTTAAATGACCATTCTCTTAATGACATGCATATTGCTTCAAAGAGAAGCCTCAGAACTGTCATTCATGTTTAAATTTGACACTTTACATATGGGCCTTAACAAATATGCTAATGTCAGGTTCAATGTCAGGACGGCGGTCGGTTTCTAGCGGAGTGCCCCAAGGTTCGGTTCTAGGACAGGTTTTGTTCAATAGCTTTATTAATGACCTGGATGAAGGGATGGATTGCACCCTCAGCAAGTTTGCGAATGACACTAAGCTAGGGGGAGAGGTAGATACGCTTGAGGGCAGAGATAGGGTCCAGAGTGACTTAGACAAATTGGAGGATTGGGCCATAAGAAATCTGATGAGGTTCAACAAGGACAAGTGCAGAGTTCTGCACTTGGGACGGAAGAATCCCAAGCATAGTTACAAGCTGGGGACCAACCAGTTAAGTAGTAGTTCTGCAGAAAAGGACCTGGGGATTACAGTGGATGAGAAGCTGGATATGAGTCAACAGTGTGCCCTTGTAGCCTAGAAGGCCAGTGGCATATTAGGGTGCATTAAGAGGAGCATTGCCAGCAGATCCAGAGATGTCATTATTCCCCTTTATTCGGCTTTGGTGAGGCCACATCTGGAGAATTGTGTCCAGTTCTGGGGCCCCCACTACAAAAAGGATGTGGGCGCATTGGAGAGGGTCCAGCGGAGGGCAACCAAAATGATTAGGGGGCTGGAGCATATAACTTATGAGGAGAGGCTGAGGGCGTTGGGTCTGTTTAGTCTGCAGAAGCGAAGAGTGAGGGGGGATTTGATAGCAGCCTTCAACTTCCTGCAGTGAGGTTCCAAAGAGGATGGAGAGAGGCTGTTCTCAGTAGTGACAGATGGCAGAACAAGGAGCAATGGTCTCAAGTTGTGGTGGGAGAGGTCCAGGTTGGATATTAGGAAAAACTATTTCACTTGAAGGGTAGTGAAGTACCTGGAATGGGTTACCTAGGGAAGTAGTGGAGTCTCCATCCCTAGAGGTGTTTATGTCTCAGCTTGACAAAGCCCTGGCTGTGTTGATTTAGTTGGGATTGGTCCTGCCTAGAGCAGGGGGCTGGACTTGATGACCTTCTGAGGTCCCTTCCAGCTCTATGATTCTGTGATAATTATCTCACACATTACAAAGATAGCTTCCCCAATTATCACTCCTAATATCATTACCTCACAGACACTAACCTCCTCCCCTCACTCCCCCTTTGTTCTAAAATCTGATTTGTCAATTTTATGTGTTCACTTTTTTTTGATTGTATCACTTTGGTATATATAGTCGTGCCAATTTTCTTCCACAAATTGATCTGAGGAAGTGGGTCTGGCCCACAAAAGCTCATCACCTAATAAACCATCTTGTTAGTCTTTAAAGTGTTGCATAGTCCTGTCTTTTGTTTCAATAAAATAAATAATATATCTTGCACTATTATATTTAGCTGAAGATTCTAAGTTTTGTAAATCTTATCTCTCTGTCTATAGACCCATTTCCCCATTGGTGCACTTTACTTGTATATCTTGTATCTTTCTTATACTCATATGTGTTTGGGGCTTGTTTTTGGTTTTAGAATCGATGAACATTTTAAAACCAGCCCCAAAATCCCAGGAATTGACCTGAATTCCACCAGAACGTTCTTTGAGAAGCTAATGAACTCCCAGCATTCCATCCTGCTAGACCAGGTATAAAGGTGTTATATAAGTGTATTAAAAATAACTGCTTCATAGTCCTTTCAGAAGGGTGTGTGTGTGTGTGTGTGTGTGTGTGCGTGAATGTTAAATATGTGAGTTGGTTTTTACTGAAAACTGCGGGTTAGATCCTAAACTGGTGTGCATCAACATAAAATCCAGTAATCTCAATAGAGCTACTCAGATTTTCACAAGATGACAATTTGTCCATGATATTGTTTTTAAAAAGGGGTTGCCCCGTGTGTGTGTGTGTGTGTGTGTGTGAGAGAGAATGTCTTAGAAAAGGTTTAATAGTAGAGCGCTGTAATTAGGACTTTATTACTTCACAGAACTAGAAAAGCTTTAATAGTAGAGCGCTGTAATTAGGACTTTATTACTTCACAGAACTTTTAGTAGCACATTTTGAAATGTCACATAGAAACGAACCTAGTGGAGGGTTTTGGAAAGTGGAGTGACAAATAGCTCACTTAAACCCCTAATACTCTAATAATAAAGTAACAAAAATAAATAGAACAAGGGTTCAGGTCTGCAATAAAGGTTTTTAGCATCACTGTCAGATTTAAATGCACAAAATCTTAAACACTGGATTAAATGTTACCTTTTTCCTATTGCTGCCCTTGACTCCCAGAGTCCACTCTGCAGTGTGAGCAGATAGCAATGTCAGCCTGGATTTTCCAGCTTCACAAAGTACATTCTTGCTTTTGTGGGTTATCTTCAGACCCTTAACCATGTGGAAGCTCCCGTAGCAGGGTAAAAAAGAGCTGGGAATGAGACTTGTGCCAGAGATTGTGAGCATGTATGTGTGGTGCACACAGTTTTATAGATGAATACTGAGCCAGCCAAGCCTCTTATTGTTCTTTTGGGATGTATGCTGAGTTGCTGCCTTTTGTCATTTTTCCCTTCAGATCTTAAAGAGTTTTGAAAGCTTTTTGATTCCTCAGCTATCTAGCTCCCCACCAGATGTTGAGGCAATGAGAATCTACCTGATTCTCCCTGAATTCCCCCTGTTTCAAGACTCGAAGCATTACATAACGTTAACACTTCCTCTGGCGATGGCCATTCTGCGACTCGATACCAACCCCAGCAAAGTATTAGGTAAGGGATCAGCATCATAGGTGTACCTTGTTCTGTGTCATGCCTTTACTACCAGTTTGGAACACTAGAGCGGGGGAGAAGAGTCATTCACAAAACACAGATTTAGGACTTCAAGGCTATGTCTACACTCGCGGCTTCTTGCACGAGAAATATGAAAATGAGGCTAAGTGTGGAATGTCGCCGAGCCTCATTTGCTTACCTAATGAGCCACCGTTTTTGCAGAAGAGGCTCTTGCACCAGAAGGAGCTGTCTATACTGCTCCTTCTTGCGCAAGAAAAACCCTCTCGCGCAATGATGTTATTCCTGAAAATCATCAGCGTAACAGCATTGTGCAAGAGGGTTTTTCTTGCGCAAGAAGGGGCAGTGTAGACAGCTCCTTCTGACGCAAGAGCCTCTTCTGCAAAAATGGTGGCTCATTAGGTCTGCAAAAACATATTTCTCGTGCAAGAAGCCGTGGGGCTTGGCAATATTCCTCGCTTAGCCTCATTTGCATATTTCTCGTGCAAGAAGCCGCAAGTGTAGACATAGCCCAAAAGTGCTCCGTCTTGGCTTAACTCTTCTGTTGAGCTAGCACTGGCTTCATTGATAGGCCAGTACTGAGTGCTACTCATGATGCTCCATTGATGGCTGGTTTGAGATTCAAACACTTGATCCTTACTCTCTTTTTTCTTAGAGACCTTAATACCAGCCGTGCCTCATCCATGAAACAATGTCTATAGAAATCCTAGTTTCTTGCACTGTATAGAAGACTGAAAGAATTGGGTTTGTTTAGTTTAGAAAAGAAAAGACTAAGAGGGCACATTATAGTAGTTTTCAAGTATCTAAAAGGTGGTCACAGAGAGGAGGGAGAAAAATTGCTCTCCTTGGCCTCTGAGGATAGGACAAGAAGCAATGAGCTTAAACTACAGCAAAGGAGGTTTAGGTTGGACATTAGGAAAATCTTCCTGCCTGTCAGGGTGGTTAAACACTGGAATAAATTGCCTATGGAGGTTGTGGAATCTCCATCACTGACACTATTTAAGAGCAGGTTAGACAGACACCTATCAGGGATGATCTACACAGGGCTTGGTCCCATTGTGAGGGAGGGACTGGATTCGACCTCTCAAGGCCCCTTCCAGTTCTATGATTCTGTAGATCTGTACAGGGTGCTTGTACTCCTCCCTGCTAGCAGCTATTTTTTTAAATACTGAAACCTCCATGGGAGTAAATCCCCAAATAATGGCTTATTCCCAATGTTTGAAGTTAGTGGCTGAATTCCAGATGCTATTTTGTTTTTCACAAAATTTAAAGGCAGGCTGGTTCTAGGGGTTGTGGCCTGTGTTGCAAGCAGAGCAATACTAGAAGCTGAGAGGCAGTGTCGCTGTAGAGGGTAGGCTGGGGTTATTGCATTTGACTAGGGAAGATCTCCCCTTCTAAATAAGGAGTATGGGCAGAACTTTAACACTGATGGGATTTTCAGAGGTCATTGGGAGAGAGGCACAGCCTGCAGGCAAAATGGAGTGAGAGGGGCTAGGCAGAGGGATGGATGGATGCATACAGAGAGAGGAGCGAGCAGTTCTCCTTCGTTTAAGAAGGAACAATGGGTTTTCAGCAAGAATCCTGCAAAAGTCAATGTGGGCTCAACCACTGCTCGGGATGAGGCTGCTGACAAGCAAATTGGTCATTGCTGAGAGGGGAAATAGGAGTGGAGGGAAGAGAAAACATTCCCTAAGTGGTCGTGGGATTCAAACCTCTGCTTAGCTGACTCCTAATCCAATTGCCTATGAGCATTGTAGGAGGGGAGTAAAGAGAGAGCTTGAGAAAAACATTAATGAGCTGTTTTTAGTTGTAGCCGATCTGATCTGAAGGAAGTGATGGTGTCATTCCAATTTGGTAACATTTTATACCTGCTTTGTACTTGTCTTGCAGAAATATAAATGACTACACTCCGGCTATGGTGAACTTGAATCCAGATCGCGGTGTATAATTTCATGAATAGAACTGTATTGTTTAAGGATGGAGTTGGGACATGAGAGTTATTCTGGACCTAAATGGTGTTGTCTTTGTTGCCCATCTTGACTCAAGGGTGTGATGCTTATGCTGTCTCGTGTTTTGGACAGGTCATGCAACAGCCACTCTGGAAGTGGGTTAGCTTATTGGCAATCATTGGAGTATTGGATTATGGTTGTAATTTGCCCTTCAGACTTCAGGACATGTGGCTAGTGAATAGGAATACAAATTATGACCAAGGTGGTGTGGGGAAACTTCCAGAAGCTCTGCTGTGTAAAGGAGTCCTTGCTTACAATCTTACAATCTTTACTTCACAAAAAAAATATATATTATTGCTTGTGTCAGTTTTTCAGAGCTTCTTTTAAGGAAACTATGGAGCCCATCTTTAAAATAGAGAAAGAAGGTACCATATATTGTATTATAATATATCTTCACAGATTCCATCACTATAATGCCTACTATAGCAAGTGCTCTAACAAGAATATTTATTTTATTTTCCTCTAGATAACTGGTGGTCTCAAGTATGCCCAAGATATTTCCTGAGGTTAGTAAACCTCTATAAAGGCACCGTAATTTATCTCCTGAATGGAAGAAAAACATTATTAATCCCTGTCCTGTTCAGTAGTTACATTACAGCTGCTCTCAGACTGCTAGAGAAACTACACAAGGTAAGAGGCAAGCATGTGTATTTTGGAATGCTGCACTGGCAGCATTTCTTTTCCATACCAATTCTTCTAGCCATGTTGTAAGGCCAGGGCAGTTGCAACCCGGGATACTAATTCACAAGCCCTAGGATGAGGAACCATGTTATCTGCCAGAGCCATTTTTAATTGCAGCCAAGGAAAGGGCTAGAGTGCTGGCACTTAAACTGAACTTGAGGTTACATTTTTTACATTCATAGAACATTGAAGCAATTCAGTAAATAGCTATGCTTCAGTAAATACCTCAAGCAGTGGCAAAGCACGTGGAATGCTGTGCGTGTGCGCGCGCACACACACAATTTTTATTGTATTTTAGCTTATTTCCATGTTCAACAAATTTATTGGATGCAAGCTAAAATCTGAGTTCTTTTCTGATGCTCTCATTGGATCTAATCCTGCAAGCTGCTTTATGGAGGCAGTTTTAAGCATGCAGGTGGATCCCTCCTCAATGAAGAAAAAGAGCTTGTATAATTTAAAAGGGGGGAAATGTGCATATCCCCTAAAATTAAAAAAAAAAATGTTTTCTTAATCAGGTGAATCTGAAGATTAAACATGTGGAATATGACAAGTTTTATATCCCAGAGATTTCCAATTTGGTGGATATTCAAGAAGACTATCTTATTAAGCATGCAGGTGGATCCCTCCTCAATGAAGAAAAAGAGCTTGTATAATTTAAAAGGGGGGAAATGTGCATATCCCCTAAAATTAAAAAAAAAAATGTTTTCTTAATCAGGTGAATCTGAAGATTAAACATGTGGAATATGACAAGTTTTATATCCCAGAGATTTCCAATTTGGTGGATATTCAAGAAGACTATCTTATG